CTATAACACTTTTTGAGCATAACATTATCAGCTGCAAGCCACTAGACAGATCACATTCCTTGAATTAGGAAAATAGCTAGATGTAATATGGCCCAGCATTGTCTGCCAATATGCAAACAAATTTTGCATTACCTGAACAGCGCATGCTATTGCATTGCAGTGATTATGATTATTGCCTGCCACTGGCCTGTCTGAATGTCTTGTGAGTCAAATCAGCCTATGGTCAAACGGCCACTTGTCGTAGGATGGTAAAGTTTGGAGCCGAACTATGCTATCCGAAACGTAACAGCAGAGGCTGTGAACTTAAAGTTACATAATTTAACAAAGCTGTGGAAGTCACTCGTCAGAGAACGATAAATTTTGGAACAGAACTATGCTATCTGAAACCTAACCCCAGATACTGTGGGCTAAAAGTGACCACCTGGTGATGCACAGCAGGATTCATGCAATTCCACCTGCAAGCTGGACTGATTGGTTGCAGTCCGTTGTCCTCTAGTTACAGTTCAAGCTAAAGTTATGGTATGAAGTGATGATTTGATACAATGTTCTGTGGTGGATGGTCATTGTACTTTGACTTTGTGCTATTCACTTCAGAATATGGTGGAGTAAAGTTCCTAAAACTTATAGCAAGATGTCATGTGCTGGTTACAGACAGATGGCTTAATTCATGGCTGATTGGTGGTCATGTGGAAATATGCTAGGCATTCCTTTCAAGGCTGATTGGTGCACAAATTTAGTGGTGCATAGCTGCATTCCCATGTCACAACAACAAGAGAGTTGGGAGCTTGTGGTCACACCGCACGCAGAATATGTATTCAGTGTGAAGTCAATTTTGTTACATGTAATACACTAATACATCATAAAACAAGTATTTTTAAAAATGTTTTTTTGGCCATTCTAAACTTTAAATATGCTTCAATTCTTAATAAATTTTATAAAATAGAATAATTATCACTTGTCATTGTTGAATATCAGCACATGAAATTGTGGCACAATAATTTCATTCTATATTAATTTTTCCTTATGGCTGTAGGCCTGTGGCCACAAGCATGTAACTCATAGAAAACTTTTCATAGATAGGCTTTGTTACATACTACATGTAATGGGGAAATTCATGTGACATGAGTTTTCACATTTTACTAGAAAATTCTCATTTTATATGATGAATTTTACTAGCAACAATGCATAGAAATATAGGGATTCAACTTTTATGATGAATTAGTAGCATTTGATACCTATCTAGTTTTTTACAGTGGCAATCAATGTCAACTGTTATGTGACTTATGTATACCATACATTTCATCAGAACTAATGGACCAATCAGGTCTCAAACATTATTGAGTGATATAGGTATATAACCAAATTATAATTTATGCAACAAGTATATATTAGAAGAAGAGGCACAGCCTTAATTCATTGGGTGGGACAATACCTGCAGCATGATGATAGGTGAATGATTTATGAAGATGCCCAGTTACTAATTTTTTTGTGTATTCTTTCACACAACTGGTGAGAGTGAGATAAAAATTGAACTGAAACAAGTGACGAGAGAATAAAAATGCCCAGATGAAAATTAAGTTGTCTTCAGACAGGGAGGTGCGATCTCTTAATATACACTTTTGAAATTGATGAAAACAACCCTATTTTTCATTAGAATTAATTATATTAATAATGCGATGTGCTAACTTGTTTGGCAATTGAGCTTACTTGTTTGTTTTTGGTCATGGCAACTGTTCAAATTGATTATAAAATTATTTCTTGACAACTTTGAATATAACTCAAAAAGCTGGTGATGTACTAAATACTAATATTTGAAACTAAATCAAAAGTATGAAATTAAGTGACATAGTGATACTGTCAGTAATCACAGTCTCACTTAGTACAAGGAAAAAGGAATTTTTTACATATTTTTTAAAGTGTAAAAAATTTGCATATTACTTCATCGTCAGATGCATTACTGTCATGATCTGCCACAGCGTCCGGCATTTCTTCTGGGGGTTCTATTGCTACACTGACTTCATTTTGATCTGCGTCTTCTTGCAATAGGACGAAATCATTATTTTGTAAAGTCACAACCTGAAATCAGAGGGGAAAGGAATTTATACCAGCTTCCAAGTGGTATGTTGAAAAAATATCAATTCCATAAATAATTTTATACCTGGGTGTCAAGGACACTTGCCAAATGTTTGTGTAACAATAAAGTGGTCTTGCAGTATTTGCATCACAAAATTGCAAGCACATATCATTAGGAAATTTGTTTATGAACACTATCCAGTGTTGTTGTTGAGGTTCCCTGATCTCTGGTCATGCCAGGAAGCCCGCGCTGTGCTAGAAAGCTGCCACCCAAGCCGGCTCGGACCAGAGCTGTGTGATGGATGTTATGCCTGCCAAGAGCCAGGGTGCTACCAGCTCCGGGCACTCTAGCAGAAGATGCTTGACGGTGTGGGAAAGTGTCAATATTTGGTGATGTAGTGTTGTGTGGTAGATTTTGTCTGTGAGTAGGAGGCACAGTATGGCATCGAAGGCTTTGCTAATGTTGATTGATCAGGAGTATGTGATGTTGATTGATCAGGAGTGCTGCTTGGAATTAATGCCATCTAATATATGTTGCGTGAGGTTGGTGAGGAGTGTGGTGGTGGAGTGATGGGCTCTGTAACTGTGTTGTGTGGGTGAGAGGAAATATGACATATGGCTATGGGGAGTATGAGGCGCTCCACAATTTTGGATGGTGTGCAGAGAAGTGTAATGGGCCTGCAGGAGGCTGCCTTGGCAGGGGGTTTGTTTGGTTTCAGGAGAGTTATGATTTTGCCAGTTTTCCAGATTGATGGTATAATGCCGTACTGTAGGCTTATGAAAAGTTAGCTATATATATGAGAGTGGTGATACCATGTGGACCAAGGTGCTTAAGATGAACTTTGGAGATGTTGTCTGGCCCCATGACTGAAGAATTTTTTAGCTGCTTTATCAAGCGCGAGGTGTCGGATGTTGTGGTTAGGATGTAGTTTTGTCTAGTGGAAATTTGTGTTTGCACCTGTGAATTTGTCTGTCTGCCCTATACTTGATAGGTGACTGATGCTGGCTTAATAATTAATCAATATGTTGGACTGTTGTTTGCATGTAGGGATGGTATTGGAGGTGGTTGTAGCGGAGTGAGATAGGGTGAGGCTGCTGTTGGAGTTAGTGAGGCTGCAGATTGTTCTATATTGTTTTGAGGAGTTGGTGTTGTGCTTGAGTGTCGCCACAAACTCTTCCCAGCGTTGCTTCTGTTTATTCATTATTGAGGTTTTGATTTGTTCATTCAGTTCGTGGATGTGGTCTGTAGTTGCCTGTTGGTGTGGTGTTGGTGTGCATTGTAGGTTGTTGTGTGTTCTGATGAGACGGGAGATGTCAGGTGTGAAATTAAGGTTATAATTTTTCCTGTTTCCCTTGGGGACATGTTTCTCATCAGCTTCTGCGATGATGGTGTTGGAGTGGGTGAAGGTGTAGTCAATGTTGGTAAGGGGTTGTGTGTTCAGTTCGTTGAAGCAGACCTCCATTTCCGTGGTAAATTCTTTCCAGGAGCTTTTGTTGTAATTGCAAATGGTTTGTGAAGTGTGCAGGTTGGTGTCTTTGGTAGAAGGCAGTGTGATGATAATGGGTAAGTGGTCGGATGAGAGGTCCATTTCCGCTCTCCAGGAAATCCTGTGTGAGAGTGATGGGGAGCAGAAGATGATGTCTGGGGAGGTGGGTCTATATAGGGCTTGATGTGGTATGTGACTGGGAGTGAGTGCACTGTTTAAGATGAAGAGCAGGTGTACTTGGTTGCAGGTCTCCACCCCTCAAGCAGTGGTGTCTTGTGGGTTGTACCAGTCTAGATGCTTTGCATTGAAGTCACCTCCAAGGACCAGGTCTGGTAGGTAGTGTGTTTAAATGCTTGGAGTGTGGCAGTGATGATGAGGGTAATGTGTTTTTTTACCTGTCTAGATGTGAAATGCCTGGAGTTCTGTGTGCCTGTCCATTTGTGTTAGAGTTCTGATATGCTGAGTTTTCTCAAAGTAGGCAACACTGTGGTGGATGTACATAATTAATCCACCACCTCCATATTGCCTATCCTATCTGATGGCAGTGTAGTTTGGGATGGATGGTGTGTTGTGTGAGTGTCTAAGCTCTTTCTTTTTTATAATGACAATGTGAATTTTGTTAGAGAGCATGTATTATTTTAGTTCGACATGCTTGGTGCATAGGCCTTCAATGTTGAGTTGTAGGATGTTAAGGTTTTGATGGTGGGTTGGTGGTGTGCTATGTTGTGGTCAAGCGGGAGAGACTGGGCAAGGAAGAGAGGGAGGCCCAGGCAGGGGGACAGGTAGCAGCAGAGCCGGGGATTGCTGCTGGTGGACTTGGGGTGATGGTCACTGTGTATGATACCTTGACCTTATATTCCCATCCAGAATCTATTATCTACATAAAATGACTTTTCATTTTCAACTCAATTTTGAAAGAAGCTGAATTTGCATAGGTATATAGATATTGTGTGTTCTTGTCCTGCTTCCCAACTGTATTGAATACTTTATGAAATTATCTGAGTCATCACCATATAATTATTAATTAGCTACCACTGCCTAATAAGTTTCACATTTCTTTGTCCAATTCAATTTCATTTCCCTTAGAATTTGGTGATTTAGAAGATTTATAAACTTTTTGTAAAACTGACATCATGACAATGCTGGATTTTTTGGGGAATTTTAAAGGTTAGCCCTTGAAATTCAAGTGGTAAGAGGGCTAACAAAATTATTATATATCTTTCATGCTATAGTTTTTCATAACACCTTTTAATGAATGCACTTGTAGAAAATTCTTTGCCAATAATGTTTATCGGTGTGACGAATTGGTCTGCAATAGCCCCTAATAGCCAATAGCAAGGTTATGGTATCCTAACATTGATATGTCTTTCATATATGCTATTGTTTTTCATTAAAATTTAGTAAAATCAAACTAAATTGCTTTTTACATTTGCAGGTGATAGCTATTTGAGAGTTGCTACTATAGAAAATATTTTTGAATATTGCAAAACTTTGTAAAGTAACATGAATGTAAAAGAGCCTCCTAGAATTTGATCAGACCTGCCTTATATCAATGATGATTTAACATAGATTTTAGTCAAAAATACATAATGCATCCTCTAAATTTTGATCTAGAGGCCATAAGCGCCTCCTCTGATGTTGAAGATCGTCTCCTGCAGGTCAAGCAGGCCTTGCTCAAGCTGCAGCAGCCTCTTCAGTGTAGTATCTGGTAAGTTTCCTCTCACTATTGCTTAAGTTACATGTATTAATTACTGCTGCATTATTATTTCCGGGACTTTAGGGTATACAGTTGTTATTGTTTTATCAAAAGCAGCCATACTTCTGCCTCAGCATAGTATTTAGTGAAAAAACTGAATTTTTTGCCTTGACATTAATGAATTACAATAAAATGGTTAATTCATTTTTTAGTTGTATTCAACTGATAGTCTTGATCCATGACTGGTTGAACTTATTTCTGTTGGCAATAACTGGCTATTAATAACCACACAGAGTCACATCTTTTGTATCATTTACTGAAGGATTAATTATCTATCAGGCAGTACAAAATTAATGTAACCAGATATTTATTTATGGTTTCCCATCACACCTGGTGTTTGAGCCATAGAAATTCTACTCAAAAGGTCTGGAGTTTTGAAATGCTAACTTTTTTCTCAGTTTGGACCTACTGACAAACCCTGTGAGCACCAAATGTGGGCATAATTTTTGCACTGCATGCATCTACCGCTTGATGCAAGGAGTGAGAGGGCCCACGTCTTGCCCTCTGTGCCTTGCCCCGGTCACCAAGCGTAGCCTGGAGAACAACACCCGCATCACTCATCTAGTGTCAGCAGTCAGAAGCATTATCGATGGAATCAAGAGAGACTGTGGTCTCATCAGTAAGTCTATATTTATTATTTGATGATTGTTGATTCTCAAATTTTAAAATCATACAAATGGTTTCAAATTGTCCGTGATTTAAAGTGCTTGATGTTTGAGTTACCATGCTCATGCAAAATAAATTAGTTAAATTGTATGGAGAAAAATTAGTTTTGAATAAAAAAGAGCTGTTGTTACCAGTATTTAAATTTTGCAACTTATTTGGAATCTAACAATGATGCTAAGTTTGTCAAACTGTCACTTGATTGATTGCTGATTGCTGATTAATCAGAAATCTACAAGCCAACAATAAGCCACAAAATATCCTATCTTTATTGTGTACAACTGTACCTGCAAATGATGTGGCAAATTTCTATTTTCATGGAAAAGTGTGGTATAAAAGAAAATATAGAACCAATAACTTATATCTTAAAAGACATACCTTTGTCTTTCATCAACTAGCATCTTTCTGATTCAACCAATCTTAATCAACCAATTTTCCTTCTTACCATTGAGACATTTCAAACCCTGCATCACATCAAAAATATCATAGTAAAAATAACTACCCAACTTTTGCCAAGTCAATAAAATCAAAGGATGGAGTAAATATTTGCTAAGTTCATACTGTCAGGCAACTTATATGGTACTGTCAGGCATACTGTCAGGCAACATGCCAAGTTCATACTCTCAGGCACTTTATTTCATACGTTACTGCCCATTCTGTCTGTAGTATCTGATAAACAATGCCATCACCTTCTATGACATCATTGTAGTAAGCCTCTATAAAAGCTCTTCAAGCTTACCACCAGTCAGTCATAGACCAACACCACTTAGCTGCAGTCCATCTCAGCCTAACCTTATTCGCATCCACCACGTCTATCAGCTCCAGCACTTGCTTGTCCTACTAGCGTTTGTGTCATTAACTTCACCTTCTCAAGTACCTCATCATGCCTCATATTGTAATCCTATATTTGATAACTAATAATATAATGTTGCTGCACTCATTCTCCTGCTATAGCTTATCAACAAGAATAAGAACCTATTGGAACTCAGATATAAATATTGTATTTCGTTTAACAATAAATTAATCAATGAGTGTCAGAAGAGACTTCCAACACTGATGCCTAAACAGTTTGATTAATCCAGACAATTGACATCTAAACACATCCGAACAATACAGTTATTGTTTCGTGCTGTTATACCCATAGAACTGACCCATGAACAACTAATAGCTTTAGATATCTAGCCTTTTTCAACCAATTTTATTGTTGTTAAGAAATTTACTTTGTGAGGAAAGCATGCAATGCTTATGTTGTTCTATGTCTAGTGCACTAGCAGCAAGAATGCCTAAATTGAAAGAACAGTTAATCAATAATACTATACATCTGTAGTAGGTATGATTGCTCCTGACATTGATTATGAAGTATAGCCTAAACCATTATCCAATTGTCATTCACGTTCTGTATATATGCGTACCGGTATGAGATTGTATGCACCGTTAGGTGCATATCATGGAACTTACTTACTGTATAAATGTAATGTTAGATCAAGTCCAACAATTTCTATTGCTTGCAGATTCTCCCCAACGGAGCCGACTCTTGGCCCACCCAACAGTGGAGGACAACTCTGACGAGGAGGAGATGGACGAGCCTCGACGAGGCACACGCAACAGAGCCACTGTTGCTGACGAGGTGGCACTGCCACTGCCACACGTGCGAAGCCTGGAGTGTTCAGCGAGCTTTAGGGGCATGAAGCGTGGTCGTGGCAAGCGCGCTCCACCTCTCTTGGCCGTCAGGAATGTTTCTGCCCCTGGTGAGTGGGACTTGCCCTTCCAAAATTGCTATTCTTTACATCAAAGGATTATTTATTTATTCTATAACCCTGTCTATACTATCTATGACTTGCACTTCCAAAATTGTGATTCTTTACATCAAAGGATTACTTATTTATTCTATAGCCCTGTCTATACTATCTATGACTTATCTTCCAAAATTGTGATTCTTTACATCAAGGGATTACTTATTTATTCTATAGCCCTGTCTATACTATCTATGACTTATCTTCCAAAATTGTGATTCTTTACATAAAATGATTACTTATTTATTCTATAACCCTGTCTATACTATCTATGACTTGCACTTCCAAAATTGTGATTCTTTACATCAAATGATTACTTATTTATTCTATAACCCTGTCTCTTCTATCTATGTACCAAAATATTTTTTCTGCTATTACAGTATTCATAAAAAGTGTTGTGGCTAGGAGAAATCGTAACTGCCAATCTCTGTAATTAGACTGGGATTATTATAGTGCGTCTCTATTGCATAGGTTAATTTTAGCATTGTTTCTGCCATTAAACTGATACTTTCATGTTTCTGAACAAATTACATAAATTTTAAAAATGAATGAATGAATTTAAATGGAATATTTGTATAAAATACCAACATGATCTACAACATTCAAGTTTAGTATTTTTACTAATCACTATGGCCAAAATTTTAGAGCAAGAGTCAGCATTTTTTTTTTGGACCTTTGATAACATTCTTTAGGCATTCTTTATTAAAATTAGTTCATCCAAGTTAATTTTTCAACAGATTTGCCTTCTCTGGTTAAGGAATCGACTTCTAACTTGCCCAATCCAATGCCGCTGAAAGACACCGCTCTCCTCATGCGCAAATCTGCTGTTGATTTACAAGTGTCAAGATCTGAAAACTGCAGCACTTCAAATGGCATTTTCCTGCCTCCCAGCTCCGCCCTTGCGCTCACCACTACTTACAGAGGTCGAGGTCGCGGCAGAGGAAGTGTCAGAGCAAGAGGGAAACTGGCAAATTTAGGCTCGAGTTCAATGGTGGCTGCTGCTGAGCAGAGTTCTGAAGATGAGCTTGTCTCTGTGAGCCAAGTTAAACCAGCGCAACCTGTTGCATTGTCTGACAGTTGTAAGGACAACCACCAGCGTAAATTAATTGGCACGCAAGTTAAATCAATGAGACCAAAAGATAAAGTTTCTTTGTGGTTGAATAAAAGCAGTGCTGTGGGTTTCAAGATTGGATTGTCTCCAGCAACTAATGATGGGAAATCGGAATCAAGAGCAACAATTGATGGCTCCGCTGCAAAAAAAGTGGAAGGAGCTGAGACGAGTGATAACCCTGCACCTGATTTTGTTCAAGAAAAGCCATTGAAATTGAACAACAGTAAAACTTTGCCACTATCTGGCGAGTCAACAGTTATTTTAGAAACACCTTCAGTTGTACATGCTTCCAAACCTGAGCCTTTGGCCACTATTTTACATCTACCTGTGCATGGAAGGAAAGAGAAAGAAAGTGACGTTCTTAATCTTTGTGATGACGATGAGCTTCCTAATTGTAATGAGAGCATGGACGAGTTTACTGAGAGTACTCCTTTGAATTCTGGACACAATAGGCTTGTACAACACGATGTGGAGATTAGTTTGATCACTGCTGCTCCACCAGTCTCTGCTGAACCTGCTACTGAACTGGATGAGCTTCCTGATAGCTGCCCCGTGAACACTAAAGACGTTTTTGATATTTTAGTTGAAACAGCCAGGAAGAATCAACCTTCTCATGTGTCTTCTTCCCATTTGGTTGAGAAGCACGTTGAAAAAAATGCCACCACGGACGACGTTTACTTTTTTTGTACTCCGGCTGAAGGAAATGACCCTCAAGTTTCTTCTAAGAAACCCACGACCAATGTAGGTAGAGGAGGGAAGAAACGTGTACTTGGTGGTAAATCTGACACTAGAAAAATGTACAAGCGCGCGAAGACAACTGAACCATCATATCCAAGCAAAAGCATCACGCAAGTGACCGTTTCATCGAGTGTGTCCGAGAAAGAGAGAACAAAATCCCTGAAGCCTACAAGTGGGACTTCAAACCTATCATGTACTGACAGCGACACGGATGGCAAAACAGTGCTCATACCGAGCTGTGAAGCCATGCCTCCCCCTGATGCCCCTGAAGCGGAAGGTAATGACCGCCGAGCAAGATCTGCTCGAGTCAAAAACCAGACCAGCGTCCCAACTAACGTTCGTTATGCGTCTGAGCTGAAGAAACGGTTTTGTGAGCCACCAAAACTCACTGCAATGAGTCTTGCTCTTAAAGACTTGAAGTCGCCTGGCTGGTCACATGTGATCGGGGCCAAAAAAGACCTCAAATCGCGACATATTGGCCTGAATATCACTGGGGGCGACAGTAAGCAAGAATCCAATCGCCTGGAGCTCGGTAATGAGCTCGACAAGACATCGATGGATGTTTCCTCGCGACAAGGTAGGCTTGATGAGTGCAAGATTTTGTCTTCAGGAGAAAGTTCTGTTGAAATAGACGATCAAACTCAAAAATATGATGTTGAACATCTGGAACAAAGGCCTGAAGAATTGACGAAAATCGTAAAGTTGAAAAATTTACTTGTGGTAATGAATCGTAAGAATGACCATTCCCCAAAGGATAATGGGAATCAATCGGAGAAAATTTCAAAAGAAGATGATGTCCTCGCGATTGCGGGTGAAGAAAAGTCGCCTGAAAATGAGGATAACTGTGAAATTTTGGCTGCTGTTGAGGATGGAAAAGAGGCTGTCATTAGCGTTGTTCCTGAAACACAGTCTGATGGTGAAGAAGAATCGCCCGATCTTGACAAATCCTCAGAAAACGTGACTAAAAATTCGGCATCTGATGCTAGATCAACGGGAGAGAAGAGCGGTGCAGATATTCAGCCGTTCTTTGTTCGTCAAGCATCTTCAAGGAGACCAGTGAAACAGAAAAATTCTCACGTGAACACCAAAGCAAAACTTGTATCATACTCATCAAATAATAGCTCGTCATCCTTGGTCTCCGAATCTGTGAAAACGGTTGCTAAAACCCAGGATGAATCAAGTCGCAGTAATGATTTGGCTTCCGGCCAGAAGAATGCTGACTCTGACCAAAATACTTCGAAAATAGCGCAGAAATCTAGGCCAGATGTGCGGAGTCCTGAAGACGTTAATCTAATGATGGCCAATAACTCATTCACGGTTTCAGAGTCAGCCCAGGCAGCGGATGAAATGGAGAATAAGGCAGAAGAGAATACCACCAAATTTCCTCCTCCTCAAGGTCCAACTCGACGAGTTATGAGATCTGGCCGGGTTAGAAAAGACGAGGTATCAACAACTTCTTCATCTCCCTTAAACGACCTTCACCCAAAGACAAGGCTCAGACCATCCAAGACTAAGCCTGACCTCAGCTCTGGGGAAGAGAAAGAAAATGTTTATGTTGAAGGCCTGCCTTACCGTGGTAGTTTACAGAAGCGGTCTAAGTCGAGTGTCGACTTGAATTCTGTTACAACTAGCGTAGCGGAGCGAGCTAAGTTGCGTAACAATTTGCGTTCTGCCAACGTTCATTTGAGTTCCATTGCACCTGAACCAGCAAAGTACAATGCTCAAAATGCAAAAATACAAAGTGAGACTAGCATCGGTGCAGTTGATGGAGCAGCATCTGCTCAAAATATCTCTCCCATTACCGCCAAGAAAACGCTGGATTTTGGAAGCGACATAAGCAAAAGTTTAGTGGAAGAGTCAAATACCAAAGACTTAGAAAGGACCACATTGGGGACGTCTTGCTGTGAGCTACGAGCAACAGGAATGTCCGACAACACAGGTTACTGCATCACTGAAGCTACGAAATTCTCAAGTTTAGACTCTTCTTCTTCCATGCCTTCTGTTGCTCAGGAACCATCAGTTGAAATCATGGTGGGTCGTTGTAAAGTGGACGCCGCAACTGAGCCAATCGTATTGCCAAGCAGGGCCGTGCACATTTTAAAATGTGCCAATACGAGAATAGATTCGGATGATTCTCAAGGCATGGACTACCAAGAACACACCATCATTCCGACTGTTTTGAAGAACAAGCGCAACCAGGCGGACTTGGCTCATCACAAATTTGACGTGGCGGTGCAAACTTGTTTCCCTCGTCCCGCAATGGTAGAAGTAGGAGTCCAGGTGCAGGCAGGGCCCATGCTGAGCAAGGCCGTGCAGACAGTGCGCACCGCGACCACCAGCGTCGCTGTACAGGCGCAGCTGCCGCCCGAGGGCTCCATCGTTGCCGGGGTCATTCCTTTTGGGGCTGTGGGTGCCAACTGCAGCGACAGGTGATGGTTCACGAAAGTGCACGGCTCGAACTTTTTGACGTTTACTTTACTTTTTCTTCTTTAGAATTATATTGAAATGCATCAAACTTTACAACTCGATATGAATTTGTCTAAACAATTCATGTCTCACTACATCGGGTATTAGGGTAGAAGAATTGCATACAACTAAACTTCCGAAAGTAGTAATAGAATCATAGCAGCTGCACCGAAAGTTGTAAGCTATTTTCCCAATCTTGACTGTAAAATTCCTTGTATTAATTGTTTCTGCCCTGTATAAATTCAGTGTACCAGCAACTTCTACCTTGCTGATGCAAAATACTTTTTAAATTTCTTGAGCATTTCTGATCTATTGCTACGAAATATCCATTCAATGTATTCACTGTTTCTGTTGGTGCAAAATATTTCCAGAATTTCATGCATATTTCTGCCCTGTTATCTGTATTGGAATTCAATTTGTCCTATGTTGATCAGATGCGTTGGCCCGGTGTGTTATGATAGTAGATGATAGTAGATCAACATTTAGACCCCTATGTTGATCAGATGCGTTGGCCCGGTCTAGAATTTCATGTATATTTCTGCCCTGTTATGCAGTTATCTGTTTTGGAATTCAACTTGTCCTTTGTTGATCAGATGTGTTGGCCCGGTGGGCGCGCTGCTGACGGCGCTGCAGCAGCAGGAGTGCCTCCACGCTGTGCCCTGCAGCCTCTACCAGACGCTGCTGTCGCTGCTGCACCTCGCCCCTACTCATCCTTTGTAGGCTCCCTTGTCGTGCTCTTGATGTCCTCAGAGATAAACAAATTCTTTTTTTCATTAAATTTTTACTCGTGACAAGTTGTTAATAGTGATAGATTGTAAAAAAAAAAACAGTTATATTTAGACTATCAATTATGTCTTGCAGTTGGTCTTGCTAAAGTGTGAAACTTTTTATTGACAAGAGACATCAGCTTTTTTATTTTTTTTAGATTAACCCAATCGTGGATTTTTGCCTCAGTTGATCATGATTGATTGCATTTGACTTGTTATCCACGCATAATTATTATTATCCCTTGTGTAATTTTCTCAGCAGTACACGACTGTATTCAGTTTTTGGGAGAGGTGCCAGTAATCGACGGTATTAATAGAAGAATAAAACATTTAGTTTGTACGCCCCAAATTATTCATTCCTCTTGAATGAAGGACTCGTTAAGTATTAATTATGTGTTTATTTATTGTGATTCCACTTCAACACAGGCCTTGCTGTTGTCGCCGCAACTGTGATGCAAAGACCGCCTGCTCCTCTGGCCCAGGACCGGTGGCTCCTCCAAACCATCTCAATAACAATGTAGCTCCTGACGACGGCACGCTTGAGCAGAACCCCAAGCCTGGTCTCTCTGCTCATGAGACTCGCTCGAGTGCCTCTGCATCTGGCGCCTTGGAGGCTCCTCGGGACGATGGACATGGCGTCACCCACAGAACAAGACGAGGACCACCGCTCTTGAAAAACTGGAAAAACAACAATTTGCGATCAGGTTATCAACGTACTAGGGAAGATGATGAACTTACGATGGATAATGAGAGCAAGAAGAGTGATAATGAGAAGCCCAGTGCAGAATCTTCTAACGAAGTTCGTTGTCCTGTGTCCTTGCTGATTGCAGAAAATGATGATGTCAGGTTTAAAAAAATTGATGATGCAACTGCCTCATCTGCCAGTGACAATCTAACTGTCACAGAACTCCTAGGCAATAGTGAAGACGAACCAACAAAACGAAAAACGTTTAAAGATATTATATCGGAGAACATTTGCTTTTTGAATGCTGCAAACACGCAATTGTCATCTGAGATCCCATTCATGGGTGAGGTTAACCTCCAACCTACTGTGTCTCTGGTAGACATAGCAAGTGCCAAGCCTTCACCACAGACTCCGCAAGCAGGAAGATCGAATTCGTCTTCTCTTCATAACGAGAACAGAAATGAAGAACATGGACCTGCCGTTGACGAGTATGTAAGTAATACATCACGCCCTAGCACCAGAGTTACGAGACGGCGAGCTAAACCTGCTGAAGAGCCGACGACGCAGTCCGACTTATTTGAGTCCTATGACAAGAAGGCTGCTGAGGAGTCCCTGGCAAAAGGTATTCCAAATTCGTCAACTACATCAGCCAAAAAGCGGAAGGTTGTTGAAAATGTATTTCGGGAAAATGATGTCTGTTGCAAGACCAAAACAGCCACATCTTTGCCAAAAATTGATAGTGAAAGCACGACTTCTGAAAAGAGTGCTTTGCGAAGTTCAGTTATTTCTTTAAATGAAACCTCAAGTTCTAGCATTGTTTCTATTAAGACTGACAAATCTATTGGGAAAATGGACAAAAAATTGGAACGGCCTAAGTACAAGCGAATCCGCACCCTAGAAAGCTCTGATTCTAGTTCTGACGAGACCCCATTGAAGAAAAAACCTTCCACCAGAGACAAAACTACATCTGTCAGCTCCAACGTTGCCCGAAATTCTGCACAGACTCGTGAGAAAAATTCTGAGGAGCTGCGTCTCGATGAATTTGATGATGGAGTTTTTGAGTATTTTGGATTCTACAAGAAAGAATCAGAACCATGCGCTAACACTGATGCAAAGACATGCAAAGGTGATGCACCAGATCAAGAAATGTTTGATCTGCCTGACTTAAACCTGCCCGCGTTATCGATTGAAAACTCACCAGTTGTTGATGCTCTGCCGGTTGTGTTTGGCACCAACGGAGAGTCTGACGAGGATGAGGATCTCATACCTGGCACTGCGGAGGTGTTTAAAAACATTGAAGCTGACGCGGCCTTAATTCAAAGAATTCGTGATGCAAAGAAAGTGGGATCGGTCATGAATCAGCTGAATGCCCAAGATTTATTATCTCAAGAGACAATAGTGATGAGCTCATCGGTGGAGTCTTGCACGTCCAACGACAATCAAGAAGACGTGCTTCCCTCTGGCCAAAGTACTGCTAAGCCTTGTGACGAGGTGTGTCGTCAACCCTCTTCTTCAGACCGTCATGACGAGGAAAGAAACACAAAACTGTACGGTACTGGCGGTAGCACGGTCACGTGTCTCACAGGAACAACCAAGTCGCTTTTTAATGACTGTGACAGATCTCTTCGTCACGCTGATCGCGTCCTGCGTAGCCAGGATACCAGCGTCTCATCTGGCAACACGAACCTGAGGTCACAGAGCACCGCAAGCAGCAAGCTATCAGCTACCAAGCATAATAAACGAGCCTTGAGCTCCTACAATAAAACGTCTGCCAACGCAAGTAGTCATGGCATATCTGGAATAGACACTATAAACTTGCCCGGTTCTAGACCAACAGATGAAGTGGAGCCATTGACAAACTCTTCGGAAGACAACCCCAATGATAAAGGTAAGTTGCGGTGGTATTTAGTTCTGCTGCTTTATATCGTTATTTTGCTGTTACTTTGTTGATGCTGTTAGGAATCGGATGTTACTGTTACTGCTGATCAGATGTTACTGATGGTCGACTGCTTGCTATGAGTCAACTGTGTTGGAAACAACAACCCGTTTGTTGCGCATTTGAAATAATTATTTTCCAACAGAATATTTATGTACTTCAATTTCAATTATAACCATGCGATATAACTCCCAACATCACTATATACCTCTATATTTTCCTTGTTATAAACGTGCGATAATAACTTTCATCCCCTATACTATATTCCCCTATCCCCTATCGTAAAATGTAGCACTCATCCACAGTCTATGTTGTATTCCAATATTGAATCGAGCTACAGAGGGATATTCTCACGTAGGAATGCGCTGCAATCGATGAGTTTTCTTGCACCTTGAAATTTGTTTAGCTAATCCGTGCATTTGCTTTTGTAGACACGGATGCCGTGGGAGAACTGAGCCACCTGTCTATGATGTCCACGCAATGCGAAGTGATATCGACGCAACACCGCAACAAAGTCCAGGTGCGCCTCCATACGTTTAGCTGTGTGCTTGTTCTTCTTGCCGTTTCTGTTCGTTCTGCATTCGTCGTTTTTAGCGCATTTTCTCATTTATGGAAAAAATGCACTATTGTGCTCGCCATTTCCGTCCGTCCGTCTGTCCGTAACCTCAAGTTTTCGTCGACGAGAAAATGCGCTCTCTGTCACTCACTGCAGTTATATTTTTACTGCAGTATATTTATAACTGAGTTATATTTTTTCTCTATTTCCCTTTCTGATTATTTATTAAAGTGCTTTTAATGTTTGCAAGACCAAAAAGTTTTCTCTTCAGTGTATTGACGTTTTCTCATCAGTATATTATGATTAACCATCATTCATTTCTAAAATAAAGTTCAATGTTTAAGTCTAATGCCGAAATAGGAATGAAAATAATGTCTATTACGAGATATTTGGGAGGCAGCTTCGTTAACCGTTGCGAGACCTCAGAGTCTCTCTTAAATGTGAATATTAAAGACGAAGTTGAAATGAATTCCATAGCGACATATGCTATCCTGTCCTGTCATATCCTCCTCTCCTTCCGCCAGACTGAGGTGGATATCCTGCAGGCAAAGATGGCGGCACTGCAACAGCAACTCTCGGAGATCAAAAAGGGACAACTTAACGACCATGAAGAGACTGATGACACTTTCAGTTCTAAAGAAAGAAGTGATGGCGTTAGTGAAGCCAATGAGGGTCAATGTGGTGTGACCGCTTTGCCATTGATTGAAGATAAACTAGCTCAGTCTGAAGTAACATCCAAAGTTACGTCAGGCTCTTCTAAATCATCAGACGGGTCATCTATTATACGAACAAGTGCTTCGTCGGCTCCAAGTAGAGCTACACGGTCTTATGCTAGGATGAATCTTCAAATGGTGAAGGACGAGCCACCAACCAAGAGCTCTTGCAAAGAAGGAGCTTCAAGTTCTGAACCAGTCACCTGGCCTCGCATCGCTACTCCTGGTCAGGAAACCAACTGTCTGGATGCAGATCATCCAATTTCAAGTTTATCAAAGTCGACTGTTCCTCTCCCGAGCGCAGCAACAGCCTATTTGAATGCGCCGGAAGATCAGGATCTTTTCTCGAGCTTGCCTGATCCCGAACCGAAGATTGATGTTGAGCCCATCGGCTCCGTCCACGACACGCATATGAATGCACAAGAGTGAGTTGAAGTTGATTTCTAAAATTGAAAACAGCAGCCTTGACTCTGTGCTCCTTGTCGTGAAATTTCTAATTCCCGGTGTACGTCATTTGAGCACCAACTTTTTAATTGCGTATGCAAATCTGAATTGGAGCCCTTAGGTTAGACTTTCAATATTTGAATTTTTCTCCTATGTCTGCATTGACGTTTTCTCATCGATTTTTGTTGCTATTGATGTAGCATTTGCTGGCTGTTTGTGTTGGCCGCTACTGTTGTGCCCTCACTTCTGATTGTAAACAAAGCACGAATGTCTTCAGTTTGAACCACACGGGACAAGGCACTTGAGTAGCAGACACGTTTAACGCTATCTTGCTGTTTAAATACATGTAATCTGTTGTTGAACGATTTTCTCGTGACCCATTACCTGGTGATACAACATTGGTAAACATTGTGTTGCTCTCACAGAGAGCCGAGGCGCCTGACGCTGGTGTGCACGGGGCTGGCGGCGGACGAGACGCGCACGGTCTGCTCGCTCCTCAAGAACTTGTGCTGCTCGAGTGCCGGTGGTGACAGTAGCAAACCCAGGGGCGAGATTCTCAAGACCTGGGTCCCTGGTGTCACTCACGTTATTGTCAAGTGCGTGGAACTAGTTAAAAACCGCCTGTCATTGATAGGCTTCCGTTGTATGTAATAGTAAATTTAATACATCAGCGAACCCCAGCAACAGTTTATTCCACTTATGTAGAAACGCTCAATATACAAATTAAAAATCATGATATGGATATGAACGACAGTTTTCGAAATTGCTAGAAAACTGTGCATGCTTAATTTTAATTGCAAGGAACCCTCCTAGGGAGCAAAACATCTCGTATATTGTATAATAAAGTTCTTCTTACATTATAATCCGTGTTTGTGCCATAATCAGCCTATTTTGTTGACTCGAAAATTCCTTGATAGGTTGCTTGTGTGAACATTTCAGAAATTAAATCCCTATTTTCAATTTTTTTTATTTCAGTCATGAGGTTATTTGCCGTTATTTGTTCTCTTAAATTTTATTCCATGATGCAGATGTGGGGCGGACCAAACGACTGAGCGTACATTGAAGTACCTGTACGGCGTGGCCTCCGGCTGCTGGGTGCTTAGCTACCAGTGGGCGTTGAGATCCCTGCAGGAGGGGCGCCTGCTGCCTGAGGTGACCATCAGCATCTGTTCCTGTTCCACTTATATCTGCTCCATGCTTTATTTGTCCCTCAATTTTCTAATTATTCAATTCAGTTTTTACTCTTCACTTTAAATTTTAGTTTCCTTGTTCCGCGATAACTGCTGCTGTATACGCCCATTCACCTTTGTATTCTTTAAGATGGATTTAGTTGCTCTTTAATTAGCGCTAGAAGAGATAGGCTAGTAATGCGTTTCTCATTCCTCATGAATTGAATGCACGTACCTTGTTCTTTAATGATCTTTATCCTTTTACTTCCGCATTTATGTACATTTAATTTAACTGCAAAGTTTCGACTTAATTCTGGGCTTAACAATCTACTACTTCTTTCTTCTAATCCTCAGCAAGTGCATTATGTATTCAGGTGTAATCTACTATGAGGAACTTCAATTCCAATGTCCTTTTTTCCATTCCATTTATTCAAGCTCTGGAATTAATTTTGCTTATGATCTTAAGTGCACAGAAGTGAATATATAATGTGACTGCGGACAGGAAGAGTTCGAGGCGCTAGACTCTACAGGCTGCGAGGGCCCTGCACGCGGGCGGCGGATGCGGCACGCCCCACGCAGGTTGCTGCAGGGCTGCGTCCTGTGCTTCATACCGCCCTTCAGGGACGTGTCCCTACAGCAGCTGCTGGTGGGTTGTGTGTGTGTGTGTGTGTGCATTGCCCATCCTGGTATTGGCAACTTGGGAAGACAGTGGGTGATTGTAAGCACCATTTGTCTTGGATAGGTTTTTCTAAGATTGTGCCACGACCATCACTGGCACATGGTGTGTCGTCCGCGCCTATGCTGGGGCTCATTTCATTCCTAAAACAACTGGTGAAAAGTGTAACACGACAATTATAACTACTGCTAATATGATTTCCTGAAGAATCCATATAGTAAGTGCCATTCATTTGAATTATTGCCGTATTTATGCCTATGTTGTGGTCGCAGGAGCTGGTGCAGTTGTGTGGAGGGCAGGTGGCTGAGGATGGAGCTCACCTCAAGAAGTTCCCACCACCTGCAGCGGCCCAGCACGAGCTGCGGCTGATCGTCATCAGCACCGACGATGAGGAGGACGAGCAAAGCAAGCAGCTCGCTGGAGGTCAGACGCACGTCAATAGAATTTCATTTTTCTGCACATTTTTGTAACTTCGAAATACTGTCTCTTTGTCCATAACATTTTATTTAATTCACAGCTTTTGCTTTATCAAATATTTCCACTTCTGTGTATGCATAAACGCAGTCTGCTAATCCGTTAACCGCTACTTAGCGAAGCTAACTTTTTCGGTGTGCCACACTGATAGCCGGTGTGCCACACTGATGGCTCGTAACGTGACTGGTGTACGCACACATGTTGACGTAGTCAGCCATCAGTGTGGTTCACCGGCTAAGGAAAAAGTCAGCTTCGCTAATTAGCATTTAGCAGATTAGCAGACTGTGCCCACCACTGCATTCATGTGAGGTATTCAAAGAAGGCGTTTTGAAATGCACTGTAAGGCGGTATGCCTGATGACTTGATGCCTGAGAATGCTGGAACTGAGAGAATATATTTAATCAACCTTTTAGTACTTGAATGCTGTTGAGTCTTTGCAGGATTTTCTAGTCTTATAAATTTATTTTAGATAATTAATTTTTAGTAAAATATTGCTTTTAAGCTAATTCCCTGACTCAAATAGGAAAGTAACAATTGAAGCTGATAATTAAACAGTCAGCATTCTTAGTAAAATTAAATCAGGTCATTTAACTGTAACCTGATGTGTTCGCGCTCTACATGTTCTCAGGTTAGCTGTTTGGAAAAAAGATTTTAGCAGTTCTGAAGCAGTTATGCCCGTGTGTGAGCAAACATTCTGTGAATTTGTTGTAGATTTATGTGGTGAAATTAAGAACTATTTCTCCTCATAATGCTGTGGTAATTCCATTGTTGCCGCGGCATTAAGCAATTCTTTATTTCAGATCTGAGTGTTCGTTACGGGTTTTCGGTGGTGGCCTCAGATTGGCTGATTGAAAGCGTGGCGATGCATTCACTGGTTGCTCTCTCCCCGTACCTCCTCTCACCGCTCCACGTCCCGCTGCTGGAGGCTTCAGGTGTATCCACGCAGCTCCTGCACGACACTCAAGACTTCGTGTAACGTGTCTGCTTCTCTATGTGTACAAATTCAGGCCGTCTATTGCCTTCCTGAATTCTAATGTGGCATGCGTGACACTTGCCTTGCCTTGCAATGGTCATTTGTTTGAACAAGTGTGTCGCAGCTCACAGGACTTATGGTGGCCGTGCTTTCCGTTATAGAGATACTACATTCTATATTTCAATATCACATTAATAATAAAAATACAATATTCTGCTCATAAGAATGTTACACAATTGGGTATGTGTTGTGGATAAATATTTTGTTGTAGGTTCATCTCATATCTAACCCTCCTTATTTAGTTATTACAACTGGACATAACATTCATACAAAGTATTCATTGACATGCTGGGCCCATCGAAACCTGTGTTGTTGCTTGTTCAAAATGATTTTTTTTAAAGATTTTCTGTGAAGTGAAAATCTTGGAGAAAAAATGATCTTGTGAAAATAGTGTAAAGTTATGGCGTTGGGTAAGTTTTGATAATGTTGATTAAGTTAGTGATAGCGTTATCACCGCTGTAACTTTGCAGTCGTGCCAACAAGATTAAAAGATCTGGCTACCTTAGGAGCTCAATTCATTTCTCTTTGTCGCTGATAGGCGATGCTTAATAGCCGTCGAAAGGGGTGCCTTTAAACCTGGGTATCTACTGGGGAGATCTTGAAGATGGCGTAAGTTTGTGATAGCTTTGCATGAGTTGCCTGCCCTACGTTACACGAAGAGAATCTAATGATGTACTTTCAATCATTCTGGACAAAGAGGAGTTTTTCAAAGAGTTGAAACATAATAGAATGGCATTAACATATAAACTTACAGCTTATAACACAGGGTATTGGAGAAGTAGCTATATGATAACGGTTGTACATGAATATTAAATACTTTTTATTAAGTGTTGAGAGGCATCAAGCAAGTTGAATTCTTGAAGGGTTTCGTGATTTTGTTTTGTATTATGAACTAGAAAATGTTTGTCTAATGCTGATATGGTCAATTTATCATAGTAATATTTATGTTACTATAACCAGTATTGTTGTTATTGCTTGAACAAGAAACGTAATCTTAACTTGAAGTAGGTCGTTTGTGAATGTAAATTATATATAGCCTATTGCTGCTTTGCAATATCTATAGTAGGCATTCAACACTGAGCTTTCAACATGCCTTACCTGTTATATTTGTCTGTAGCTTACGTCCTACGTCTATGCGGGGTAACGATACTGAGTGACGAATGTCATGAACTTCAGTAGTGTTTTTTTTTTTTTTGTATCAAGAGACGACTGCTTGCTATTTCTGCCTACGTGTTGGCAATATCAGTGTGTAAGTTACCGTTGACCAAGTGATGTGGGCTTCAGCTCCGTATTGTTAACGTGACTTGCAACACTTTACTTATGGCGGTAGAGCTTCCCGTGTATAAGATAGTTGTTCTGGTTGAGTTTGATAGGAAATATCGCACTATCAGAAATTGCATGTGGAAATCACAAGTGCTTTTTTCATAATGATGCAGGTTTTTCTCGATTTCGCATTGATTTTTTGGGGGGATTTTGGTGTTGGGTTTTTTCCATCCCATATTCCTGCTAATTTGAACTCGCTAGAAAATAATAGGCTGGCGATAGGTCCACCTTACGTTGCAATAAGGATATATTTTACTTAGGCGGAGCACTACGGAAAACGTTTATGTCAGGATAAATGAATCTGTATCAATTTCACATTTACTTTTTCACGTCGTTTTCAATGCGCTGAATGGAGTGACTTCTTATTGCGCTGCTGGGCTGTCACGTAGAGATTCTGTGGATTATTTCTAGTTTTTTTTTCTTCTAATTGCTTTGGCAGTTAGATTTATCAGAGGATTTTTATTTTAAATTTATTATGTGAATGTTGGAATGCTTTGTTTTTAGTTTATTTTTCTCGACTACTTAGTCCGTTGATGTAATATTTGCGTCAAATATCTGCCTATTTCATTACTGAAATACGATCGAATATTCTTCGACATTTATTTAGTTTTGTGTTGTTTTCTGCGGATATTGTTTTTTTACAAATTTGAGGTAAATAAGAACTATATAAAAGTTAACAGTGCGTATCGTTTTGCTAAGTGAGTTCTTAGGTTCTCTACTATCACTGCTATTCCATGTACTCCGGGGAATATATCGTAATTAGCTAGATTTATATCGAAATTTTCAGGAAATAGACAGCCTGCCGGCTAGAAGTGCCTATATATCGTGTCGTTTCGCGTTATAGTTTTCATATTCCAATCTTTACTGCATTTCATAATGTCAGGTTATTCGTGAAATCAAACATAACATTCTCGATTATTCCTCATTTTTTTATTGCTATTATATAGTTGGATAAATATTATAAATATGTAATTCAATGAGTAAGGAAGCAATTCAGTCAAGTCGCTACATTTATCGAGGCAGCAGATCAACCTTAATTAGGGAGGTTGGGAGGTTTAAGTACATTCGCTGAGATCGTTTGGTGTAGTGTAGTGCTCATGAGTCTGAATTATCTTCATACCAAGCATCTGATATAGAAATAATGTCAGTTAGATGTGTTTGTAATAAAATGAGTTAATAAACAACGTTGTTTCATTGCCATTTACCAGTAGTGATATCGCATGATCCTGTTGCCGCGTAAGAGCGCCGACTCGTAAAGGCTTCGGCCAGTTGGGCTCCGGCGCTGTGGAGCAGTGGCTGTGTTGTGCAAAGCGGATTTACTGTTAGCCGGAGTTACCCACAGCTCATTGGTCTGAGGCTATGTGTAGATATTGCATGCTGATGGTTGGCGTTAGGCCCAGGGCCTGTTTACGAGTCAATTTTGTAACCCACGGCTGCGCTCCCGAGTGCAGGCTCTTAATATCAAAGGGATAAATCAATGTCACAATGTAGGCGCTCAAAATCAGAGTTGGTCGAGATTCTCGCTAAATTTAGGCGTTTTGCAACCAGTGTGGCCAACACGATCTATGTTATTGCCGAAAATGATCGTTTAGGCAGTTTTTAAGATGACAGACTAAAACTAATGTTGTCGGTTTGACTTTTCAAGAAAAAATATAGATTCATTGTTTGCGTTTGCCATGAAAATTTTTTGGTCATGACTCAAGATTCTAGCAAATATAGGACGAGTGGATTGGAATTCCGACGAGTTTTAGTAGCTGCGAAAACACTCGAAAATCATGTCACGATGGCAACAGTGTAACTCCCGAGTTTTGTGAGTTATAGTTGATAAATTGATGCAATGTTTAGGATGCATAATGCTGATGACATTTTTCATGTGCATACGACTGAATCCCCATACAGACGTGGAGCTGTCGGGACTGCTGTGTCAACTGAATTTACCTGCAGATGCGGAGCTACATGGACGGGTATCCGAAGCTCAGATGAGCATCAAACACAAAGATGAAGTAGGGTGGTAACTGTAATTCTGGCAACACTGGCAAGTGCCGGCGCTAAGTACGACGGCGGCGTTTTTTAATCACCGTCCGCCGGCCGGGAACGCGAAGTCTAAGATATAAAGAAAGGAGTGAACTCAGTGAAGTGTGTTTGAAGTGCAACAATGTTAAATGCAGAAAAAAATAATTTGGTGATCTGAAAAGTTGAAGTAATTTCAATAACTTTGTATGAGTTTGGACTTTTGTGGGTGGGTCACTGGGGTGTGGCGTGTCACGCGTGTGGCGGAACAACTGAAATCAAGAAACGATTTTGAACCAACCGTCCGTTGAAAATATTTGATCAAAAGGCCAGTCTAGTCAAGAAAGATACAAGAATCTGCGACAGCTGACAGGCGTCACAGGACACAGGCCTATCCAGTATCCAGGCCTATTCTTTAATGCCAAAGATAAGATACTATACCTACTAATTTACTAAATAGTGTTGAGATTTCAAATCAACGTGACAAAAATTCTGCATGCAAAACTAATTTTTCCTTCTCCTGTCTGAACCATGTTTGGCCAATGCTCTATTTCTGGGATAATGGGATTTATGCCTGGGAAAATGTTTTCTGTAAACCCAGGATTAGGCTATTCAGATCTGAAACTGAGTGAGACACCACTGTGCACAGTGCAGAGAGTGGATGAATATTGCAAGATCTTTGGCCATGCTTCAGTTGCAAAATTTATGCCTTCAGAAGATCTTGCCGACACTGCGACGCATTTAGATTGAAATTCTTTCATTTAATATATTTGTCAGTCTTCGGCTAACTATTTAAAAAAAGTAAGGTTTCTGGTATGTTGGATTGATCAGTATGCAGTGAAGCTTGTCCGGAAATCAGTTGCGATGAGTTCCCACCAAAAAATGTAAACATCAAGTTTACGATTACGTAGTTGTGATCACATTAGAATGGTCAGACTGCAGTATCACATGTTCAGTTGACACTTGCTGTACAATCGGAGTGTTGTTAGGGTAAAATTAGTTATTTGAAGTAACACGTGCATCAGTGCATGCAACCTTGTAAATAAGTTTGTTGCTTGTAAATAGTTTTTCATTACTCAGCGTAAATGGCTTTTCATTAAAAATTATACGGTGACGCATCTTAAAATTACCCGGCGACGCTTATGGCTTAAAAACCCATATATTGGCGACGCTGCATCCACCCTCTGCACCATGGGTGAGAGGTGAAATTCTAGGGGGTTTTAAATGACCAATGGAACGGCCATTGCTTAGCCAATCACAGCCTGGATAACATGACATCATGATCCCATAACCAGTCATAACCTGGATAGCATGATATCATGATCCTATCAGCCAATCACAGTCATGTGAGGATGACATCATGATCCTATTGACCAATCACAGTGTAGAAAGTATGACCCTTTCAACCAATCACAGATGGGAGATGACATGACTCCGCCCACTCACAGATGGGAGATGACATGACTCCGCCCACAAGTACCTATGAGCACTATATGTTAGAATTCCACCATGCCCGGGGCCGGGCGCCCCGCCCGCCCGTGAGACACAGTATCTAGTCTGGAAAAGTCCTATTTTTGTCTGAAATATCGCGGCTCTAATATTATATATTTTCAGTAGGTATGAAATCTCGTGGCTCGAATGTCATAAATTTTTGTTTGATTAAAAAATCGCGGTTTGCACTTCGCAAACATGTCATTTCATAAAATTTTCAACTTCCGCAATCCGCATTGCTTTACCATTTCCGCCAAAAATATCTTGCAGAAAAAACATAAACTCTCTACCAAATAGTGAATAACTGTTTTTATAGGAAGAATATTATGGTTTGAGACTTTTAAATATGTCTGTGAATATATTAGGAATCCTTTAAGTATACTTGTATTTGCTGATTTCAAGTTGTAAATAAATTAGTAGATGATTAAGTTGAGATGTTGGATTTAGACACATGAAAACTAATTCCGACTCAACTTGAATTGGACACACACAGACCGTTCAAAGCTTTGTACAAAAATTGAAATTTGCTTAATTAAAAGCCTAATAGCTGTTAATTAAAACGTAATTAAGTAGTGTTCAATATTCGTTAGTGTTCTAATTCAAAGCCGTGTTGTATCCCAATACAGCTCACACAGCAAACGGAATTCGAACACGTGGATGTTGGCAATACGTATCAGTTAAATTTGAAGCGCTGACGCATTCACCACGTGTCGAATATTGCCACACAAAGTGACGGAATATAGGGATTTGGTAGGCTTCCATTCTAAAGGCTTTTAAAAAATATGGCAACATTTTGTGACGTTTCATCGTTGCTGACGCGTAGTGAAGTGTTTTGAGAGTCCTGTGAAGGCAACAGAACTTGCGTAACGCACCATTTTTTTTTATAGTTTTTCATTTGTCGATGCGTCCTTAATGTGTTGGAATATACCGCGTTTACCCTACCTTGCCTAAGTGCATGCAAATTTGGGATAATTGGCAAGATAATCATGGTGGAATTGTAGGAAGTGGTTGGTCATTTAGGTGCACCACAGTCCACAGACAGAGCGCTCCTGGACCCTGGCTGCTCCAGGTCAAGCGCCAACTTGGGGAGCCAGGGGGCACAGTGCGCAGGGAGGTTGGAATGAGTGCTACTTGTATACTTGTAAAAGATGAAAAGCTAAAGAAGCAAAGATTGCAAGAGGCCATTTGTGCATACTAAGCAATTTTGCAAGAGGTTGTTTATGCAAGACATATACAAATTACTGGTGAGAGAGACTATTCACAGCAGATTCACTAACTCCTCTTGAAAGGGCCAATTGTGCATGACCCATTAACCATTCTCCAAAGAGGCCATTCACGTTTGTACTGCTAATCAATCTTGCATGAGCCATCTACATGAATCCTAAACTAACCTCACAGGTGGGAAAAAGACCCCAACAAAAATGACAGTAGAGTATGAAAGTATGATACCGTGAGCTCTGTAATATTGTAATATGGTGCTTAAGGACATTGCTGAGAACATATCGGACTTCTGTGTACCTAACTCCCCCTGCAAAAGGGAGCAATTCTGAGTTGTTGTTGTGGTTCCCCTGTCTCATTTTTGTTCCCCTCGCGCAAGTACGACACCACCGACAGGGGGTCGCTCCAGAGCTGTAGGGCCGAGGCAATGCCGAGTTGATGAAGTCGGCAGAATATATTTTAAGGTCTTTCTCTTTATTTCTTGCAAGTATGCAACATAGTTTTGTGGGTGTAGTTACTTACTTTCAATATTACAGTGCATGGCAGCACACTACAACAGCTTTTCAGTGGTCAAGATCACTTATTTTTGGGCAATGTCCTCTTTCTTTTGGCTGCAATATCAACCATCGAGTTAGAGATGGGGTCGGAAATTACATTTCTTAGGTTTAAAGAAATTGTTTATGCAGCATACAAAGAAATTTGCACTCAAAGTGTATTCTGTTCATATTGCTGAACTAGTGTGCTATGCTGGGTACATTGTAACGGACTAATTTTTCATTCGGAATATTCATACTTGGAGTGCATTCTTCTGATAAAATAGAATCAAATGAATGAAATGAACACTGAACAGCCTTCCCAATATCAATGCCATGAAAAGGACAGATTCTACTAATCACAAAATTTAATCTTGGTACAAATTCACTGAATTATAGTTGTTGGGAGAAAGATATATTCTTTGGGTTTACATTTATTTTCATGCAAAAGCAATAGTTTAAAACATTTTTATTAATTTGTTAAACAAAGTTGAAGGGTTCTGCATGAATTTGATGCAGAACCAAAGTTCTGCATGAATTTGAGGCTTTCTCCACTGTACCTTACATAGGTGCTATACTCACAAATACTGCAATAACCTTGCCAGTCTATGGTGACTTGAATGTACTCCTCCCCAATATCGTTAGTGATTTAGAAGTAGGTACTATATACCATGCCACTCCCAACAAGTATCAAAAACTTCCATTTTATTATTCGATCAAGCATTAACCCTTTAATGGGAAAGTTTCCATATATGATCACCTGAAATCGCCTCAGAAAAAGCCCCACCATGGCTTCCTGTTCATTTTTTAAGCTTCCTTATCATTCCCTCAATCAACACTAATTATCTGACTATCATTCCATCTATAGCCCCACCACCTGCACTGTCCACAAATTAAAATATGAGCATTTAAATGAAGGTTTTGCCTCG